AATCAAAAACTCTGAATGTTATATATATATATTTACGTGTCTCCATACGACTAGGGTGATTCATCATATTGGTTTATGCATATGAAAAGATTATTCCTATATTTCACATATAATTCCTGAAAAAAAACAGACTCCGATGTTTATATAAAGACTTGCATAATTTTGTTTTTAACTATAGCCATCATTACCTCTCCCTAATGATCTAGATGTAAGCGCCATCTTAGATTTTGTTTTCCAATTATCATAATAAAATATATCGGAAAATTGATAAACAATAATAAGAAAACTCATAATCATTTGTCTGTAATGAAAATATAATTTGCATATTAATGCACATATATTAGTTGTGGATTTGTTCTTTATAACTTGTATTTAATGGTCCTTATTTAGTAGACAGGTTTCGTCAAGAGCTGATTGAATACATGACGTAAGCGCTGAAGATGAAAACGGCGCACAGAATGATAAAGTAATTTCCGTGATTAAACAACCGAAATTTCAGACAACATAAAAACCAGGAAGTGCTAGAGGTTGAATAATCCTTAGGAATTAAAGAGTATTGGACACTTTCCTCATTCTATCTTAGAAATTAACTCAACAAAAGAGATGGAATCAAAGACTTTTATGTCTTAAAGAGAGTATGATACTTTTCAGAACACTAAGTCGAAATGGAATGATCTAAGACATCAGCTTTACTCAATTTAGAATATACCATGTCTATATGATCATTGGATTTGTGTTGTACTCTTGCCAAAGTTGACTTTACAAGCTATGGATTAATAAAAGTATTCCGATACCTCAGCGCCACAGCTTTAACTTGTCAACATACAACCATCAACAAAATCTTAATGATTCAGCAGGGAGTGCATTAAACATCTACAGGCCTGGTAAATAACTTACAGTAATATTAATTCACAAAATTCCATTTCAACAATTTTATTATTCAAAAAGTATTATATAATCAGTATATTTGATCGAAATACAATATTTGCTTGCCAATATCCTTTTCCGAAAATTCGTTCTCAAATATTTTCAAACAAACATTTCATGAATTAAAAGTAAAGGGTTGAAGTGAAAACAACTTCAAATCCTAATCTTTTCGATTACTGCTTATACTTTTACTACTTCTACCACTATGGGATTTGAATCGACAATTGTATCTCTGTGCTGCTAATGTAGTATTGTGGTGTGGGTTACTTATATCCACATAAGTAGTATATAACGGTGGTCAGGCATAGAATGTATTTCAGTAGAAGATGGAGAAGGAAAGAACGGAAACGGGACGCAGTTGGTATGAAAGGGCATGAATAATGAAATCTGAGACAATGGATTGATGTTTACGACAGGAACAGTGAAGTTTGAGACGATGGATTGAAAATTTGCAAATTAACTATTTGCTATATGGTTCTTAGATTTTATTGAGATGCTCAGTAATTTCATGTCAATTATATTTGATTGTCTCCACTCGTGTTCTTGTTCACTACAGTATGGCAATTTGAACTGATGTACGTACGTACAAAGTACTACGTTGTTGCTGACTGACTGATCTGAGAAGTACTTACACTAATGTTTAATGATTTAATTAAGTATAAACTTCATTAAAAGCGATTCATTTTGGAAACCACTGTAATAAAATTTTTAATATTAAATTGTTTTTTTAAGTGTTTTAAAGTAATTATACATCGAAGATATACGATCAGAATTGAAAACTTCATAAGTCATACTTAAATTCTATGCTTCCCTATTTTATTTATTTAAACACATAAACATTGGTACAAGAAGGCACCAAATAGATATGCGCCACATAGATCATTCGTTTTGTGTGAGGGCTGGGATATTGTCCGGGTGCCCTAACCGAAGGTGGTTTTCTTGGGGGGCTACACTCCGATCATTTCACCCAAAGGTCTGATCCACAAGGCAGTGGGGCAACGGCAGGGGACGCTGTCACATGGTAGCCGATGACCAACAATTGGTTCATACGCAATTCTTCCCCTCAGGATCCTGGAGCCTATGTGCACCATTGGTTTGGAATCAGAGTTTTCCAACCCCCTAGGTAAATCCTCCATAACCCTCAACCCAGTTAAAGCGCCGGACATTCGCTTCTTGTCCTGTCAATTTCGTAAACAATACCCGTGGTGCGAGAAGGCAGTGAGTAAGACTTCCCTGGCAGAGGCTATATACGCGTGGCCATGTGAGAGAATTTCGAGAGAGAGGGAGTTGACTCACCCCACTCTCGGCCGTACCAAGGCATTTAGGTGCATTCCTCTCTATTAATCTTCAATCGTTATTCAGTTATGTTCAACGTAGAACCTGATTCAATTTCTCACAACACATTAACATAAATATATGAAACTATTAAGAGAAATCTTAGAGTAGAAGTAATAGTAACAATAACCATATCAGATCACTATGAATGATGAATCTAATATTAAACTCATCCAAAGATCCTGTTGTAAAATAGTTTAATGAATTAACATCACTTTATTTACTGTTACAAATTAATTTACACATGATTCTGAATAGATAAAAAAAGAAAAAAAAGAAAACCTATTTTTAACACAAAAACCCACAACCCATTCAACAATATAAATAACTATTGTTAGTACAATTAGTACGTTTATACTTGAAAAGCTGTTTGAAAATGGAAAAAGAAAAAAAAGGAAGAAGAAGAAACAAGTGCGCAAACACAACACACACACACACAGGTAGGTACATTGATTAAAATACTAAGAGATGATTAAGTGAGAGAAAATATTGCCAAGTGAATAGGTTGTTTATATTGCATCAAGAAAAATCATAATCACATCAAGTTCACTTACAAGATTATATAATACTGTCAAGATAATTGAAAATAAACATCAAAACTGGCAATGAAAGAGGATGTGGTAAGATAACAAGGAGAGTAAGAAAATCCACATATGAAAAATTACAAATTATTTCAATTAGATAAATATACACATACATACATACACATTCTATCACACATAAATAGGATACAAAAGAGACCTTTAAAAGGGTAAAAATTAAGGACAACAACAACAAGAACAACAAGGAATGTTACATTTGATTTGATTTATTTATTTTTTGAATAAGGTAAATAGAAAACAGTCTATAAAATTATGATTCAGTTTCTAAACTTGATACCCGTGATGAATTAGTGACTTTTAGAAATTCTAATAACATTTCATTTTCATTAGCTTGAATAAATTCATCATAATCCTATTGAAATATAAAAAAAGGATACATATACTGATGAAAAGGTTAATTCATGTGAATCAGAGAAATGAGTGAGTAATTTATTAAATGTGATACTTAGTTAATTCATTAATAATTCAGTTTAGTCAGTCAGATACAACGTAGAACTAGGCACATATATGTATGCATCGATCCAAGTTGCCAAATTTCATTAGCACAACAAGATGAACACCAAATTCAGTCAGTCAGTCAGCTACAACGTAAGACTAGGCATATAAATGCATCGGTCCAAGTTACTATACCTCATTAACACAACAAGATAGACACCGGATTCATAAAAGTAGTTAATTCAGAGGTGGTAATATATAAAAGAAAGATTGCATTAAGGATATAGTACAAAAGGAAAGAATTAGTTCGTAGAAAAAAAGATATGAAGCGATTTTAATCTCTTAATTTAAGGGAAGACAGAGAGTGTATACACCGACACCATTGTGGTCGATTCTGAGCCATGTCACCAAGAGTCTCCAACCATTGGTTACGATAGTGGCGTGGACCCCAAACCAAGTAGTCTGTATCTACCAACATGGCTCAGACCAGAAGTTATTGACTTTATGAACTGATGTCAAGTTTTGCTTTGCCACTTTTAACTTTCATCCGACCATCCCCAACACTAATCAGCATTGCACATCCTGGTAATCGGTGTTCAGGCATACGTAACACGTGGCCCAACCATCTCAGTCGATGAAGATTTACAACCTAGACTGAGACACAATTGTATCAGGCTCTAGCATTCATTATGACTGACTTTGTATATACTGATTTTAATTGTCTTTGTTTAAAGACCTGTTATATTTACTTTGACAGTAAGAATTGATGTCATAAATGACACTTCATCAAGTTCTTATTTCTACCACTAAATTTATGTTGACGAGAACTGTGGGCAACTAAGCAATTGTATGGATTTATGTCAGATCACACGCTTCTTATGAATTAATGACTAAATCATGGAGCCTTCTGAATATGTAGTGTAAAGCTATGCTATTGTATGTAGAGGACGGGGGGCAAAGATGTGACCCAGATATTTAGAACGAAGGATGATGATTGACGTAGTTCTGGTAACCCGCTAGTTGCTTAGTTGTGTACTTAAGTAAGTCAGAAATAACTCAATATATAGGATCAGATATATTTCAGATATCCTACTGACATCATATCAAAATAAGCAAGCTGCAGGAACACAAAATTGTAAGAAGATTCAAAATATAGGTTTAAGTGTAACTACGTGTGCATTCGAATTATAAGATAATTCACGTATCAAAAGATTAAGCATGGTTCATCAGATAGTAAATCATCCGTTAAAATAATGATGGATTTCATATCTACTCATCATGGTGTATGATTAGAAAAGTCGTAAAATGAACTAAACATGAGATTGTAATCTCCTAAAAATGCATTAGAAATAACAAAGAAAATTCTTTTTAGGATTTTACACGTAGTCTCGATTACAATTGTGAAGGAAACAGAATTACTTTGTAACTACATGGGTATACCAAGCCTAGCAGTGAAATCCAAGATGTTCATTATGTTATATTTCGACCTATCAGTCGCATGTGTCTGCATCCTAATGTTAGTGTGTACAATGGGATTCGAACCCGCTTCTTCTCACTTTAAGCCCTAACGCTGTATCTGTTGAACTACTAAGTCCAGATAGTTAATTTTACTAAAAACTTTTGACTAATTGGCAATATCCAGATAATCCGCTCAAGGTGTATGTATACAAATAAAGACAGATTAATTGCGTTTTTTATCAACATAAGGAAAATACAAACCCTTACAAACTAATGAAAGAAAACCGAATGTGTAAAACAATTTTTCTAAAATCTTGACGACGGAAATGTGCAAATGATTGTACCAGAATGCACATTCACATTCACTTAACATAAGATCATCCAGTACTTCAAAAAGTTTCTACTGTTAGGATAAACATGTTCGTAGATGTTCGGTTTTCAAAAATACATCAGACCGATTTCGTAAACGAATTTGTTCTCCTGAGACCTAAAACGCATTATTATTCGTAATTCATTCCACATACAGAATCCCCCGTCAAGGGTAAAGCCAGCTGGTTTAAGTCATGAAAACATTCACTACACCCCCACCCTGTTAGATAAATGAATTCAATAATATAAGAAAACAAACACTGTATTTTTCAGTATTAGACATAATTCCTTTTGTTTCACAATACTGCACTTCGCAATAGTTGGCTAGCTAGAATACAATTACAACAATAATGCAACCAGTTAATGGCCTACAATTACAAGATGAATAGTTTTGTGGATTAACGGTTATTATTCCAGTGAGATGTATTACATGGAGCTCAGAGAATCACGTGACAGTGGAGCAATGCAAACATTGTAATTTCTTGCAAGAAAAATCAACTTTGAGTGATAGCCAGTGGAACATTTTCAAAGACTAACAGCCTCTTTATGGAGATTGGTTTGTTTTCTTTTTTGTTTAGATAGATACCACATTTATGTCGCATGGTTTTGTGATCCATCTTTTAGTACGCAAGATGTACCACATTATAAATCACCTTAACAATATCACTAATGGTCGTTATTATGAAGCATAATTTTACCAGAACTAGTAACTGTTAACACTGATGAAAATAAAAGGCTCTATGACAAGGTACTAGAGATATTTTAAAAAAAACATTGTTTCCTGTATTGAAGTTTTCCCTATAATAACATGCGTCTCTCAACAGAGACTAAACGACAAGACTAAGAAATAGCCATATCATGGTATGATATGATTGACATGAGGCTTGTCTAAAGGGGCTCAAACCTCTCTATAAACCAGGGTCTGGAAATAAAACGAAAAAACACAACAATTATACATGAAAAAGCCAGAAAGTGGCTGTAAGAAAAGAGACTGTAAATGATCGACTGGCAGCAAATAAGAAACGGTAAATCATATGACAGTAGTTAATGGGTCGACCGAAAGCTTATGATAAATGAAATGTGTAGACAGAGTAATCTAGCTGCCTAATAATTATAAAAGAAGAATATATATATAGAAGTATTCCGTAAACCAGCTCTGGGTGTAGCTACTTCTTCAATTTTCGTCTTGATATATCAAGTTCAAGCAGTCACCCCATTAGCACAGCGAGATAAAAGTGTCAAGATAAACACCAGAATAGTAGGGTTATTAGTGGTGATGAAAATGATTAGGCATTGAAGATACAACCTGAGAAAACATACATTAGTGGGACAAGAAAATTACTAAGTAATTTAGCAACTTATGATCTAAGATAAAACAATAAGTGAATACACTTGTGCTACTCAGAACGATTCTGAGTCATGTTACTCAATCTTTAACCAGTGATTACGATAATCACGCAAGCCCAAACCAGGCATTCTACACTTACCTACATGGTTCAGTCCAATAGTCAGTGTCTTCATCAACTGATCCTAAGTCCTGGTCTGACTTCCCATAACTTTCTTGAAACCTATTTCTACAACAGCGTGTTGACGTAGTCGGTGGAAACGCATACGTAATACATGTCCTAATCTTCTCAGTCGTTGAAGATTCAAGACGCCACACGCTGCTATCGAGTTTTCTATGATTATTATGGAACGTTTACAACACATGGAAGCACATAAGAATATCTGCAGAAAGTTGGAAACCACGAGCTGTCACCAAACCTCATGAATAATATCGGAAACTACATTTCAGAAGATTGAACGATCATCTTAATGATCGTCATTATAAATAGCATTAAGTCAAACGCGAGAATTAGATTTTCGGAAGCTCCAGCTAGTTACTTGTTAAAGTTTAACATACTGCTAAGATGATTTCAATCAAATAACAGGACAGAATGCGCTCAGTGACAATCACTACAACTAGCAGAAAGTAGTTAACTCTATCTAAATACTAAATAGATTAGAAACATAAACAGTTTTTCTACAGTTTGTTGATACTACAAACATTAAGTTTTAAATTTTTGAGCAACCTAATGGTGTGTATAAAGAAGCGCAGCTAAAACCCACAAATGGTTAGGCAACTAACAGAGGGTTTTCATTATCCGTAGCTAAAATACCACTGCATAGCAGATAGTTCTACAAAGATTCAGCTTGTTGTAAGCATATATAGTTTGCATGTGACCTTGGAGTACTGAGGGCTTAGACTGCTTTGTGTACTCATTTATCATAATGTTTTTGTTGACAAGATAGAGCCTTGATATACTAGTCCTACAAACCAACTCACATTTATGATACCAAGAAATATAACAGGCGAGAAGAAATCATACTTTTGTGGGTGAACGAATGAAAGAGAAACATTGAGTAATAAGAATGATACAAACATTTGAGAATACAATTTAAATGAAAACACTGAATAGACAAACCCTACATCTCAAAAGAATATTTCTTAGCGTTTAAGAATATCACAACCGCACTCAGCTCGCCATTAGGTCTTATTCCGAATCATATTTGATTTCCAGAATCCCAACTAAGTAGAAATACTCCGGCATATGGTATTCTGAAAGAGCTACCTCTGAATCTCGGGTGCTGTATGATGGGTTGGTTGTTGCTATACCCGTACTATGCACTTTTAGTATTAACAACTAGGGATCAACAGACGTTTTTGATGTAGACAGTATTCATATTATGTGGCTATCTCATCCAAAAACTGTTGTTAAAGCGTAAACGAGCACTTCCTTTGTTTTATAGTTTTAGTCTAAGTAATAGCTTTGGAGTCAGATCAAATCAAAAGATCTTCAACAAGAACTATGCATGGTTCGATCCGGCGTATATTTAGGCGAAAAGTAGACAATTCAGCGACATTTGGGCGACAGAGAGACAAAAAGAGGGAAATCCGCATTATTTCTCCCGGACAGGTGAAAAAGAAAACATTTTGGCGCATCTCCCCTTTATTTCCCTTTTGTCGGTTGATTGGCTGATAGTTAATTTTAAGACAAACAAGTGAGAGAAATGCGAGGCAATGAAACAAGAGTGAAGCCCCGATTCATCTAAATATCTACAACATGTAACCCATGTAGATGTCAGATTTTTGTATGTCTCTACAAGTATAAAAATCCTACGATAAAATATACCTTGAAGCATTTTCTGGCAATGCAGCAAGCAGAAAACCAGCATCATGAACAGAACAAACAGTTCTGCTAGGAGTAGAGTGAACTAGCTACACGTGTGAAAGTTTTGTTGTACCCAAAATATGACAGCTACTAGTTTGCTAGTAGACATACTTCAAAGTATTGTAATGATCATGGCAATTGTAATGGAAAAATTATTCAAAACGATCTTCCCTGACATACCCCTAGGTATTCCGACCCAAGAAACAGCTGAGGAGCTATTATTGTTTTCCCATTTTCTTCGAGAGCCTTGAACATGAATTGTTTGTCAGTCTCTGAGGATGATATATCTTTTACTTCAAAGGGTATCTTAGCTGCACTAAGTATATTTATAATATATTGTTGTCTACTTTTGACCTACAATAATTTGATAAGATATTTATGAAAAAATTACTTTTGTATTTCCTGAGGTCGATGATATATAAACATCCACAACCATGATTTCAGGCTTTCAGTGTTCCGCCAAATGAACAAATACAACCTTGTCATTATCGTAATATGTTGCTATGACGCTATTTTTCCAATATACTTCGTTGAAAAGAAAATGCCAAATTTATCTATCAGAATATCTCAGAATCTGATGGCAGAATGTGAAGAAATGATTGTGGAGATTAAGCAGTGTACTCATTTATTACTTGTTTCAAGCTGAAGATCTTAAACGTTTAATATTATTAAAATGAGTCTCTTCAAATGGTTCAAATGCTTTTAGATGGAAAGAAAGAAGCTCTTTCCTAACGGGCTTTGTATCAATACCTCTAGGCAGCAACTTAGTTATTATAGCGTTAAATAAATCCCCAAAATACATAGCTCTGTAAGTTCCCCACTCTGGATGCTGACCACATCAGTTTTAATGGACTCACATAGCTGAAGGCGCTCGGTCATGCATCCGCACCAGATCACGGGTGGGAACGCCGTGCTCAGCAACCCCTGCAATCGCAAGCCAGATTAGATCGGACGATCCTCGTTATATTTATAACCTATCAAATATATCTGAGAAACTCCTTGCTTCTGTCTCTTGAATTCACTTGGTGGGAACGATTCATATTAGGTGTTACTGAGATTTTACATATCATTCCCTTATTTTAATTTTTTATAAATTGTGATATTTTCTTAGTGTTTTTGGATACATAATTATTTTTCACTCGTTCATTCTCCATGACTGAACAGACACACAAGGTACTTAAATTAAAGACTATGTCCCCACCTTCGTTCCAAATGATGCTCTTCTGGCCAGAAAACATCGAAGCCTGGTTTCGCTACGCAGGAGCCGACTTCTACGAACACGGCGTGAACGACAGACGTTCACAATTCCTTTCAGTAGTAAAGGCACTACTGCGCGAATTCAGCAGGTACATAACGCCTAGTATGTTTATTAGTGATGTTTCGGAACCCTACGAAACACTTGGACGATCTATCCTTAAACGCGGAGACCTGACCGATCGAAAAAGGTTAGACCAACTCCTTACTAACATCGACCTGCGACACGGTTCTGCGACAGACATGTTGCGAAGAACGAGAGAGGTTATCGGCCCAAGAACCTTCGATGATGGCTTCTCCAAACTTCCTCAACAGGTGCAAGCTGTGCTAAATTCGTTTCAAAACAACGCCTTAGATGAACTGGCTGCATCTGCCGACTGTATCTTAGAAATCACGAAATCATCTAATGCCGAGGTTTTTTCAGTCAAAGAAAAGCTTCAAACGACCCAGAATGGCACCACAGAATTATGTCATACACTTTCACGTTATCTTAAATTTCGTGGTGACCTAATACCGAGTCCGGACAGAGATTCGCATCTCGAGCATCTTGATCTTGTTTTCGACCGACTACAAAAACATGGCATTACTGTAAACATTCAGAAATGCTTAATCAGAACCGACTCATTAGACTTTCTAGGACACACTATAGATGCTCAAGGAATTCGACCCCTTAAAACCAAAGTGGCGGAAATTCTGGATTACCCAGAGGCGACCACGATCGAGCAGTTACGAACGTTTAACGGCCTTGTAAGTTTCTGTAGACGATTCATACCGAAATGCGCGTTACTCATGAAACCTCTTGCCGATCAACTTCGTGGAAATGCGAAATCCGTCAAGCTGGACGACATCGCGCATTAAGCACTCTCCACAGTTAATGAACGTATCGCTAAAGCAACATCGCTTGCTCACCAGGACACTAAAGCACCCGTTAGTATTGCAGTAGACGCATCCGACTCAGCAATCGGAGGAGTCTTACAACAATGGGTTAACGACTCTCGGCAACCTTTGGCATTTTTCTCTTGACAGACATGGAATCAAGGTAAAGCACTTTCGGTAGGGAACTTTTAGCCATGTATTGTGCCATACGGCATTTTCAGCAATATATCGAAGTTCATGAATTCACCCTTTTTACTGAACATAAACCTCTTACTTTCTCTTTAAGCCCTCGACAACTGGACTACATTTCGCAGTTTACTCCAGACATTCAACACATTTCTGGAGCAAACAATGCAGTCGCAGACGCGTTGTCTCGCATAACTTCCTTGAACAGTTTCCAAGGAATCGACCTTCTGAAACTCACCCAGTGTCAAAAACAAGACACTGATCTTCAGCACGAGTTATCGTCTACAACCCTTAAGCTACGCATCAAGCAGATGGGAACAGGTAAGGAAACCTTACTTTGTTACACATCTACAGTTAGGGATCACCCAGTCGTCCCAAAACATTGTCGACGCAGCGTCTCCAAAACGCTGCACAAACTTCCTCATTCAGGTGTTCGTGCAACCATCAAGATCATAGCAGAAGGGTTTTGCTAGCCTGAGATGAATAATGGCGTGAGGGTGTGGGCACGCTCTTGTGTAGACTGCCGAAAATCTAAGGTTATTAGACACAACAAATGTCCCTTAGGCTCTTTCAAAACTCCCGATGCACGTTTCGAACATGTTCATCTGGATTTGGTAGGACCCTTACCAGATTCAAATGGATACTCTTACCTCTTAACCTGCGTAGACCGTTTCACTCGATGGCCAGAAGCAGTGCCTATTAAGGAAACAGTGGCCCGCGCCTTCGTCGAAAGATGGGTCGCAAACTCCGGATGCCCTTCAACCACCACTACAGACCGCGGACACCAGGTTGAATCCCAATTTTTCCGTTGTCTGACCACACTTTTAGGAATCACTCGCTTCCGAACGACCACCTACTACCCACAAACAAACGGGTTGGTAGAACGCTTTCGCAGACAAATAAAAGCTCCACCATCAGCTGCAAACATTTCACAGTGGACCAATGCTACTTCACTCGTCTTACTAGATATTCGCAGTGCAGTGAAAGCTGACATTGGATACACTGCTGCTCAACTCATTTATGGAATGACACTTCGACTTCCAGGAGAATTCGTGGATCCTTCATCCTCTTCAATGAACATGGGTCCAGCCTCCTACACGAACAGGCTTACAAACGCAATGCGTTCAGTTAAACCTTTTTGCATCCGGCTTAGGTTTTCGTTCAACCTGACTTGCGATATAGTACACACGTCTTCGTTCGTCGAGACTCACATGGACGACCTCTCGAATCAGTATACGAAGGACTCTTCAAAGTTGTTCAATGTGAACCCAAGTACTATATAGTCGATAAGAACGGAACCAATTATAGCATCAGCATCGATCTCCTCAAAGCAGCGTATTTAGAAGGAAATCCTATATACGTCGATTTATCTTCGGTACAATCGAACGACACGACTCCGACACTTATAATACCTCATCCGACAGCCAACGCACACGATGATACTTTGAAAGTATCAGGAAATAAACTTGAAACAACGCATTCTGGATGAAGAGTAAGATTTCCAGAACATTTGAACGATTAATGCACATAAGATACTAGTTGACATTTTTTATCATCTCGATTTCTCTTTGTGCTATGTGTAATATAAAAAAACAATTATATTATGCCCACATATTTACATTTTATTTAAAAAAACAACCTTGAAAAGTGTGTATCTTCGGCTACTGTTTGTTTAAATACATCTTTTATTATTTATCTTTATTTGCCCTCGTTTTCGTCCTTCAAGGTTTCAAGGAAATGATAACTTCTGTTGTCCTATTATTCATTTTTGGAATTTTCAAAGAATGTATGTTGCTTATGACTTAATTTTCAAAGTATTATCCATGGAGTGCTATGTGTGCAGGAATCAGGAAGGGAATAAAGATAAGTGCATCAAAACTACAATGCAATGTCTAGAAGATGAACACTCTTGTATAACCAATATTTCATATACGAGTAAGCTGGTTGCATTTTAATTTTATCAACACTAAAAACAGGTCTTTTAGTTTTCATTTAAATGGTGTTATGGGTTTTTAGCACTAATAATACTGGCCGAGATGAGAGCTTGTTGCTGCTGACCTGTAATACCGAAATTATTTCAATTCGTATTCCGTGAAGTTTCAGTTGTTGGAAATGCTGAAGATAAATAAGGTGTTAGGATCTCATGTTCCCTGAAGACCGTCACCTTAGAAGACCTACTAACTCCTCTAAAATGTGGGTTTGGAACCTATTTCCAAAGTCATGAAGACTTTAAATATGGACAAAACTTTGCATAGTTTTTTAAACACATAGACAACACTTACTGGTAATCACAAATCACATCACATTTTAGTGATATCATCTTGTTGATTGATTTGTTGAACACTATGACTTTTGTCCTCTCTTCATGAACTAAGGTGTTTATGTGTGTCATTTTCTGCTTAAAATTTACAATACAGTTTGTTATTATTTGAGCTTTGATTCGCAATCATTAACAAAAAACTAGATTTTTGTGCCAATGTCATATTTGAACTAAGTATCTTGACACTTCTCATGTATATTAAGTTTGAAAGCTAGGATGGCATAGAACATGAATCAGTGATTTTTTATGTAAGACTAGCCTTCATTTGATTGATTATTTGCTATTTGACTTCTTACCATTCTTCTCAAGTACTTGGTTACTTGAATGCGGACTACTATGCGCCCACTTAGTAATTGAGTCCCGGAGACCATAAGTTACAACTATGAATAAAATAAATACTAGCATACCTATCTATTGAGCAACATTACTGCAAGTAAAAAAAGTCATAAAAATGTTGATGGAGAGAAGTGAATGACGTGGGAAAAATGTAAGGGAAAAAGAGGGGAGGTTACTTCTTGAGCTCCATATGGTCCCTTGATGTCATAATATGAGATTCTACCAAACGTTTGCACTTTCCTGATTCTTCCTTTGTTACCTGATATAGTGTACTGAGGAATAAGTGTAGACATCTTGATTCAATTTTATGGATGAATAGCGTTTCCAAAACCAAATTATTGTTCCTTACATAGTAGTACTGATAGTTCTTAGCAATAGGTTTTTCTTCATGCCTAATTTTCACCTCAAGAATTGCTTATAATCCTATAATTTTCCAATCAGAGCTAATCTGTTCGACAGATAATTGTGAATCCCCTTTTAACTGGTCTACATGTATGTCCTTATGATAAACCAGCAATCACATGAACTAGGCAGATCTAAAAAACTTCGAAAGTTGTTTGATATTACAGATATTATCTAGTAATGTGAAAATTCTCTTGTGCTACGATGATCATATTCAGGTCTTTCCAAAAATTCAAGGCACTGAAATGTTTGCTTACATGTAAAACCAACTATTCAGAAAAGATCACTAACTAATCATCAGTTTTACTGAGACGAATCATAGTCTACCAGTAGGCCGGCAAACATTCTTTATAAGCGTATACCATTTACAAAACCCACAAAATTTTAAAAATGTCGAGATACCGTTCAATAACAAATGGAAGTTCTAAACGCGTAAAAATTCAAACACTACTATCATAATAGAAAATCTGCTTTAGCCTAACACTTAGTTCAAGTGTGTGTTATTTCCTTCCAGTTGAATTAGAAGAAACTATTTAAAAAACTAAAATACTAGTAAAAACATTGTGAAAATGGTATTTTGATACCCTGACTATTATTTTTATTGTTACGTAATGTAACAATTATTATAACGTAACTTTAAACCTAAAGTGTTAATGTAGTTTAGTCATATTTCTTGTATTTGTTCGATTTGCTTGTTGCACATGTTAAAATTTGTCATTTAACTTATAGTCAATTTACATTGAACTCACCCTATGGCTTCTTAAACATGAGCCACACTCTTGATGTGATGGTTGATAATATTACTCAACTGCCCAAACAGAATTGAAGCAGAATTCAAACTTGGCGCCTTTTGACCAAATGCCTTAACCACTAAACCCACAGCTCCGGCGTTTTAGCTTGCAGACGTGTTACAACACCGCTTGTCTCGATGTGCAATGAATAGTAGTGGGTTATTGGAAAGCTATATCTAATATAATTCAACGAAATTATGACAGTTGTTCCTACTTGTTTGGATGTATTTGTACCAACCAGTTGAGGTCCGTGAGATAACCATGGCTCAACACTGGTTGCAATGATGTAGCTGTGTGTATTCCTTGTCTTCTTAAAAATCTTCAATTTTATTAGTAGAGTTTATTGTTTATGCATCAATTTCACTTGATTTTTGTTATAAATAGTGGTCTATCGACATGTGACGAAATGATACCGCCAATTAGAGAACGGTGATTTACCGACCAATGACGTATAAACCCGTACGAACAGTCTTGAGTCCTTATCAATCCTTCTTTTTGTCTAGCCCTGTCTGTTGAGGCTAGAACACGAATCCCAGCTTCCGCAATATGAATCATATATTTCAAATATACTGGGTTTATATACAAGCCAAACAGACCACATCACACAATAGAATAAAAAATAATATTTGTACAAGATCTAGCCAAAAGTGGTTGTGAATGTAGGAGACTTGAATTTATAAACTGGGCATAACTTACGAATGGTAAATCATATCGTAACAAGAAAAAGAGAATTCAGCGAAGAAAATTTTCTTTTCGACTAAATCATTTACTTAAGCTCTACATTCGTATATATAGTTATATGGAAAATGTATGTCTATAGAAGGATAGAATGGATTGTATCACAAAAATGGATTCGACAATAAATATTGTAATAGGCTATATGTAAAAATAAACCTTGTAATAATAAGAATATCAATATACGTAGTTTAGTTACTTAACAATTATGCAATTTAAATATATGTATAGTATTTGTCCACCAATAGATCCCAACAGTTACCATTCATTAATCCTGTCTGGATATAACAGTTTTCATAAATATACTTTCCGTGCCTAATTATTTGCGATCACTGAACCTAAGTGTTATATCCTAGTGAAGATTACATTACGAGTAACGTCTGAGACCTAATAATGGACAAATATTATTTATATATTCTCATGGTATAAATATCCAGTAATTAGATTATGTACATCTATATTTCTCTTGTTATAAGCTTTATTTTGACTTATAATTTATTACTGTACGATCTACTGTTTTTAAGCTATTTTCGGTTTATTGGCTACTGCCTCCCACGTTCACAGCAGCTTTTTGGCTTTATTGTGTACAAATGTTATTTCCTATTTTATGGTGCGTTGCGATCTGTTTGTTTGATATATAAACCTAGTATGTTTGAACTATATGATTCCTATAGTGAGAGCTGGTATTTGTGTTCTGGACTCAAGTGGATGGGCTAGGCGGACATAGGACCAATAAGGACTCTAGGCTGTTCATACCGGTCAAACGTCACTGGTGTGGCACAGTGCTAAGATTGTATAAGTCGTATTTTGATTGGTGGATAAACCACGTGATAAAAAGCCGGACATAAAGACACAACATCAAGGTTATTTCAATATTTTGGGTTCGCATCATTCCAGATTACTCTGGCCGCATTAGTGCTGTGTCCACTTGAACTGACACACACTTGCGTCAGACTCTACGTTACTGACAATTGAATGACTGATTAAATTAGTTTGGTTTATTTGCAAACCACATACATGGAGTTACATGAAATCATTTGCCGTTGATCTGAGTAGTTTTGGCAGATTTCGGTGGATAAATTCGATCAGTGGTTTGAAAAGTTAGGTAATACGGCTCCAAACCGCCTGCAATAGTGCATATGCACTTAATCCCTATCTTTTTGATTGTGGGTCTCTGTATTCTTTCATAAATGTCTTTTTACTCTCCTTTTTAGCATTTCTCATTGTCATTCAATAGTTTTAACTCTTTCGCCTTATCTTATTTTATTCGTCCTGTTGATGTTGTATGAAGACTTGTACTAATGATTATGACGGCATATGTATATGCCTATGCAAAATAAAATTGAGTGATAAAATAACACTGTGAAGATTTGACTCATACATCTAGCCAGTATTATTTTCTCACAAAATCATTTTCCTTTTAGTTCCTCCCTATTGGTCACCGATGGGAGAACGAACTCATTTTTTATGGAAAGCTTGTATTTCTACAGAAGAATGTGAGCGTCAAAAGAAATTGCTGGTAAGACTTGTCAACGTGAATGGTATATGGACTGGAGATGTGTGGAATGTTGTCAAGGTGAATTGTGTAATTATTACGCAACGGTAAGTCAACATTTTTGATTTCATGTTAAAGAATTAGTGTTATTAAATCTCAGTGGTTCATAAATGATAGTAGGAAAGTTTTTTCACTGTAATTTTAAGAATAACTGTTTATTCAACCCTCGGGGTTTGTGATTTTTGTATTCTGCTACTCAGCTTTATGAGTTAAGTGAAGTTGTGAAAGTTGATAATCAGGGCATTAAACATCTTGAAATGAGACTAAAAGCTTTTTCTGTAAAATATATAGTTTGAAATTAAAGACAAATATCAAGTGTATTGATATACAGTAAAAACATTATGAATGTTTGAAATAGGATTTCAGTCATCATGTATTCTCTGTTACAAATAAAACCATGTTGACTGAAAGGTAGTCAAAACTGTTTTTAGGTTAATTGAAGTTATGTATGTGTAACAAAAACATAAATATTATATCTTTTGGCTAACAATTATAACTATTATCCGGCTTGTGAAGACATTTATTTTGTCTCCAAAATATTGAATAATGAGTTTGAGTATTATGTCAATAAAGAACTTCTTGAACTGTAGGTATCTTAATTGCATGGTTACATCGCTGAAAACTTTTTAAAAATGTCAAACGAGTTTTTTCATGTATTAAGTGACCGGAGGTAGTCAGCAGTAAACTCTGGATCTTGTTTCCATGCTCATTGTTTGTTATCAGCTAACCGCATCAGGAAGCTTGAGGGAGGTGATGTTCACTGTATAATCCAAACATGGGTCAGCTAGCTTCACAATGTGGGACGTTGTCACTAGGTTAATCAGGCGGTGACTGACTTTTATGTAGTCATGAGTGCTTAACGAGTTCTGCAGAATAATTTGCAATGTTGGTGTCACAGAAATCTTAACACGACTACCTATTGTTACTCACTTCATCTAATATTACATCTGCAATCAATCGTCTGATGATTTATAATCTAAATTTAGTCATCAAGTATTGTAAATGCAGTTGTTCATTCATGAAAAGGTGTAATGAGCTGCATAAAGTGTTTTAAGTCAGTAAACACCAGAAAAAAGTTTTTATCACAGTTTCTTACTCTTGAGAGTTGTACACATTCTCCAGCCATACACATATCAGTTTTCGGTCGTTTCCTAGCTAACTAGTCACTTAACGAAATAAAGATTGCAGATTGCTATAAAGATGCAACTGACAGAAACACTTACGGTAGTGTGTAAATCGGTCGGGTTGATAACGTATTTACTAAACTGACTCCGGAATTTTAAGTGAACAGAGTTCAAAAGACAAAACCATTGCAATATTTAGTGTGCAACTATATTTTCAATGACTACTAAAGTGTATTGAATACCATGATTAATGAATTCAAGCGTGTCACCAGTGTCAGAGTTTATTATCAATTCTAAACTGTTCTACGATTTGGTACTGTAGAAACTGATTCCTTACACATAACATTTTTAATGATATTACAAAAACTTGTATTTAAGTCAAAACGCCGTCTAGTTGAATGACTATTTGAATGGGTGTTTTATAACTTGGCTTGAGCTTTACGCAGCATTTGTTGCATACCATCATATGTATGCTATCATTAAAAATCAAGGAGCAGTTGATAGGTATTTCGTCGTAGTACAGGGCTCCTCAGCAGCTCACACTGTTGTGAATGCGAACACAAGCAGGGACAACCAAAGTCAGTCAGTCAGTCAGTAACAACGTAGAACTTCGTACGTATGTACATGACAACCAAATGTATTTGAACACAAAACTACAGAACCTTTTAGTGAAAACTGAGAACCATACAATAAATTCTTCATTTTAAAAATGTCAAGCAATTGTATCAAACTTAACTGTTCTTTCGTTTCCACATTAATCACTCTCTGTTTTCGTTCTCTTTTCTTCGATCTTCTCAACCTTCTGCCTCCAGAAATTTCACTTTCGATTGGTGATACATACTACTTATTTCTGTTATCATGAGTAGCACACACCATAACACTTACAATCTCACTAGAGATCGAGGCCAGGTAATCGACGGCTTAGGTCACTAAAAACTTAGAATTATTCGTAAACTTCCACTGAGGAGTCGTGACTTTTGGAGTTTTTGGGAGTGAAATTGTTTTCATCGGTGGCACTGAATTATAGTCATACTGCATTATAAATCGACTAAGGTCGGAATTGTGAAACCGGACATTGGTCTGGTGGTTACAGTGAGTGAGTATTTTCTGTTATACCTGGAGTCCCTCCATTTAACTCCTCGTTTTGTTGTAGATATACACCACTAAAAAGTTTCATTCTAGAACGGAACAACTATACAATCGGCAACTGATGTTACTTACTGATTGATCACTTATTGATTCAATGATTCTCTTATACAGATATCAGTGATGATAAACTTACACAATCAGTTATTCACAAATACTAAAATAACTCTTACTGTACATAACTATTTAAACGTAACCACTTTTATTTATGCGATTGTAATCCTTTCGGTTTTTCTCTTTCATAAATAACCTGTTTGAATTTCTATGGAGACTTAACCGCTGTGATTTCTGACAATCGAATCTATTTTTCACACGCATAACATAAATCACTCGTTGCTTAATTTCTTCATTTTATTACAAACCATCTTTTAAAAAAATATAGATAGATTGTGATTAGTACTGAAATGTAGTGTTAGATTCGAGTTCTAGGTTAAAGATCAACACTGAAATGTTGATACATCCAATTAAGTAGTTCAAGATAGAACAAAGCGTATATCATGAATTTTACTACTGGCTACTATCTATCTATTTTTTAGGAAATGTCATTAAACTACTTGTTCTTAGATATATACTTCAATCGACTTGATCATATTTATAAAGGTAATTCAATTGTATAAGATTTATAATCATAATAGTATATGGTTGAATAATTCTTTATACTATTCATGGGATTTCTGTTTACTTTTTGTTATTTTAGTTATCAGGATATCGAGTATATTGGGATAAAAATTTAATTATTTCAATTATGATGCCTTTTTTAGCATATCATTTGTTTTAATTACTTACTTACTTACGCCTGTTACTCCTTGTGAAGAAGCATAGGCCGCTCACCAGTATTCTCCATCCAACCCTGTCCTGGGCAATTCTTTCAAGCTCCTTCCAGTTCCTATTCATCCTTTTCATATCTGCTTCTATTTCTCGACGTAATGTGTTCTTTGGCCTTTCTCTTTTCCGTTTCTCTTCAGGATATTGACCAATGAAAAACACTTTGTATATTTATTTCTAAAAGCAGGCTTCTTCTTTTTGCTTACTTTTTATATGAAATTCAGGTACCATGTTGAATGAATTATTTTGTATATAAAAATTATGTAGATCATATAAATAAATTGTGAAACGAAGTGTGTATTTTTTTGTTAAGCTTTTCGATTGATCAAAGATGTATATTGGCTAGCGGTGGAGTCCAGGACTCGTCATCTGGATGTATCTGCATTCCATAATTGATATTCACTCTGGGACTTGAACCCTGTACTGTTCGCTTCAAACGCCACCGCGTTATCCACTTAAGTACTGAGTCCCGATAGCCACCTTCTTGTGCAATGGGATGAAAGTATATCCAGCTGAGAAGTCCCAAATAGGACGAAATGTGTGTCTAACTGGATTCCACTGCTAGCCACTATCCATCTTTGCTTAAAAAGATTGTGAATTAAGGCTGTATCGAGGCAATCATCACAGGATGCATATATCCCAACATGAGACTGATCAATTGCAGTCCTAAATAATAGTGGGAAAATATAAGTAAAACAACACTAAATGAACTATTGGATTAATGTTGTATATCGCATTCATAATTACAGACAACCTTATTATCTACGCCCATTATTTAACGGCTTTGGTTAACATGGCTTAAATTAAGGTAGTGATGGATTATATACATTTATTTCTAATTTTCTAAATCTCAAGTCGTACTATTATTTACTCAGGTTCATTCTTTTTCCAACTACATCTTCAATGTTTAATCCTTTTTTCTTAACTGTTATTATTATTATTACTCCAACTTGTTTATTATCCATGTTGTCGTTGCGGTATTATAACTCTGACCGACGCACATCTGTGATAGTTCCTGAGTTGATTGTATCTGAATGATTAGTATATTTTTTAAAAATCCTAATAATACTGGAGGTACCGTCATAAACAATTATCTAAGCCACTTACAAAGGCTTGTTCTGTTTGGTAACATCTTATTGGTTAGACAATCAAGTAGCAAGACGGGGTGATTCGCCTTAATCTCTATTCAATAGAATGTGTATAAATATGATTGATGCAGTCTGATTTGAGGCATAGAAGTTACCATGAAGAAGCAGATTTTGATATTGAACATGTTTCGAATTGTTAATATAAACGAATAGAGTGCTAATCGATTCATTATACATAGTAGTACGAAGTGACTCAGTGATATTTACTCACAAGACTAAGTTATTGACTCAATCTTTCGAATGAATTGATTTCAAAGAGAAAAACTTCTATTTAGCAGAATAGATTTTCCCTTTGATAAAATAACATGCTTATATACAAACTATTAAAAACATAAAAGTAAGCATGGTGAGTTGTGACTTAACAAATAAACATGTAGAAGATATTCATTGTGTTGGTTACCTATTCATTGACGAAATGAATACTTAGTTATCGACGCTTAATGTTGTAATTGCAGTCCAAAAATAATAATATAAATTGACATTATTTACAGACAGCTGACTTGGCTGTTTCCGAAATAGGCTGTTCAATATATGAATAAGTAATCATTCTTGGAGTTGGTTATTACATTTGAATTGTTACGATATTGACAAACTGTATACAACATGCTATCGGTTTCTTTCTTCCAGGTTGATTGGAGCTTTCATCAATGATAAATTCAAAATAAATTTAAAAAAACTCAGTGGATTGGGTCTGAGGTTTTCAATTGTTTTCAATATCTCATCTTCTCACTTACGTTTGATTTATAAATAAGAAAGTGATGTTTTTTTAAGTAAGCTAATGGTATATACGTTATCTAAGCAATTCAAATTCTTCAGTATGGGTTTACGGAGGTCGTTGAGTCTCACATAAATCATGAACCGATATAAATCAGGCCACTATTGAAAAACTGGAGGCACTGAATGGCCGTTTCGTCTTAGAATCGGGTTTCTCAGCAGTGCGCATCCACGATCCCGCACTCATGAATAGAAATTGAGTTGTTATTTACAATCGGTTATCAGCTCGTCATTATTGAGGGGGGTGAAGTAAATCTTACTATGTTGGTGATTGTAATAAAATCCATTGAACTAGGAAACAAAACTCATCCCACACTTTTTGGACTGAACTTGACGACATCATTTTTGTTCACTATCAGGTAATATGGGAATTTATTCATTGGAGTGTTGTATTTTGAAAAGGTAGTGATATTCCACGATATATTTTGATTAACAACTATTTAGTTTAACTTCAAATAGATTTTTGGATACAGTCACTGATATGAGTGTTTAGTTGGAACCACTGTAAGATCCATTTTGAATGCTTTGTGTGTTTGTGAAAATCCCTCCATGCATATACTTGCACTTTGTTCCTATTGATCCTCCTAGTTGTACATTGTTAACTTTTTGACTACATTTGGATTGTTAATATTTGTATTTCATTATAGTTTTCGTTTTTACTACACCTTCACTAATTCCACGTGTTTCTTCCCGAACTGCACTTATGTTGTTTTACTTTATGCTAAGTCTGGGCGGCAGCCATGTTGGTTTGTTCCTGCTTTTGATTGCTTGACCTGTGTTGACTGGAATTGTGTATTTTGGTTGTGAATTGAAGCACTCTTCCAGAATTGAAAACACTCTGTGTTATAGAGCGACCAATTATTACCTTTTGAAAGAATTTGTACGTGATCTATCCAGACAGGATAGAATAACATTTGTTTGTGGTGATTGGTAATTTTCTTGCATCCTTTATCAGTTTTCTTATTTATTGTAATTTAGATTTGATCAATTGAACAATTATTGGTTGGATAGCTGAGTGGTTATATTTGTTTAGGTAATAATGTACACTTAAGTTTATGATAAATTATACAACCGCTATCTTACCCAATTACTTTGTTTTGGTTTCAAACGTGCGAGTGCGCGTATCTAACTCATCCAGACAGCTGTCCAGCAGTGCAAACGTAGTTTGGATCTTACAACCACTATATTTTAAAAATAAGAATAAGTTTCTGCCAATACATTCAGGCTAAACCGTTTTAATCACTTATAAATATGCGAGAAACATCTATAGTTTTATTTTCTGTGAACCCATGATCCCTTAAAGGAGATCTTGTCAACTCTATCTGACTCCAAAAGAAATTAAATGGCACTAGCTGTGCGATTCCATTAATTAGTGACAATAATATGGTGCCGACTGGTTGGTCAGTTATTTAGATTTTCTAGTTTTTCAGTTGTGCTCGTGATAAGGCCATTCTTTCAGTTCATCAAATCGTACAGTTTTTCTACCGTTATTTACCATTTGTTATTTCTAAAGACCTTATTTTATCGTTGATGATTAATGATTGGTACACGGCCAAACGTTATTTTCTATTTGTTTTCATCTGTGACGTGCTTGTACAACTGATAGTCCGTCAACTATCACATTCTCAGTAAATTTCCAGTGCTCATGTTTCCCTGGGGATAATTTATTTGGAAACCTACAAACTTAATTTATAACAGCATTAAATTTCAGTGTGATAAATGAAGATTGGGGGTTAGGGGTACGTTCAAAAATCTGACGGGTTTTTACGCAAATTTCATTGGTTCGTTCATGAATTGTGGGATCAAAATTTCCTCATTTGAATTTATCTGGTAATGATTGTCGTTATGACGAGTCGGATATCGTGAGGGTTGGACACGTGGTTTTTTCAGTTTATTATCAGCATAATCACTGGGTTACCTGATTGTAGCAGTTAAAAAATCCTCAAAGTAATTAGTCTTGTAAGTCCTCACCATTGATACCGACCTCATTCGTTTTACTGAACACACTTCAACTGAAGGCGCTCGGTCACACGTAGTCACCAGGAGTGGGTGCATATGATAAATAGAAGTATATGGAATTCTATATTATCTAGGAATTCCCGGAGTAGTGCGATTTACATTAAGTAAAAGTAGATGGGCACAAACAAACGCATTGTATTTGGAATCCCGAGTCAGTGATCTTTCAAGTACAAAAGAAACATAAGTTCGTACAAATACCGCATGCAACGCAGCTTAAATGCAAAATCAAATCTGTTTAATCCATTGTACTTCCACTAAGGTTCATCGTTTGCCTGTCCAACTTTGTACTGGATGTAGACCTTGCATGATAACTGATTAATGTAGTAGAATTCTTGATGTCCTTGCGAATCATTTTATGAATTTTCGCTTTTTCATGGTATACGAAATTAGTACAGTTTACACTATTTAGTAGTAGTTCTTCGAGCTTTGTATCGGGAAGTGAAATAGGCTTATCTAGCCATGTCAAAGTATTCGGTGAGCTGTGGACATCGTTTTTCGATAAAAGTAAGGAAATAAGCCACAATTTTATCATCCTTACCGTCATCCCAGGTTATAATCCAGATTTCTTCGAAAGCTTCAGAATTTGAATGTATATCCAGGTATTCGACCACAGGCTCCTATGATGATTACATGTTTATATATTATATACGGAATTCAAAATCGGTGAGAATCTAGTGCAAGTGAATCACTAGTTCGTACAAATGCCACAGCACATCGTGCTACACATCCCTCGTAACTACTGACTAGCTTAGACCAAACTTCTCTCGACATATCGGTAGCCTTCCAAATATATTTTCAAACTCATCCACGCCTAACTTCTGCTCTGAGTGGTATTTTAAAACCATGAAATTTTGTGCTATCTTCCAGATCAATGTGTTTATAAATCCCCTTTTGACCGACCTGTTAACCGCTGCTGTACGGTTCTCCATTCCTCATCAGTTCTCAGTCTATCATTCACAGTCTTTTAGGCTTACAGCCAATTTTTGCCTGGTTCATGTTCTAGGTTCCTGCCTGTAGGATTTGGTGATCCCCTGCTACTAGACACGGAGGCCTGTTAAGCGAAAGCTTCTTCTATTCCGTCCACAACCATTTTGAACCATTTGAACTGTTCCTTTACACTTTCTGATGTTAGTCGGATATCCCTGTACATAAACTATATTTTCATAAAATAATATATTTGCTTAGGCTGACTACAGATTCTGGACTCAAAGGCAGTGCAGAAAGTGAAGCTAGGGAGTAGACGTATGCCAGTAGGTATATAGAGGTTGAATCAACGTTACTAGTGCATGTAATTAGTCAATTCAGAGATATGGAGTCTTAGAAATCGGGTATCTGATTGATGGATTTGCGGTGTTTCAGTAGTCAGAGATCGCACTAAGTACCGTTTACCGTAGCCGTTTGCGTTCATTTAAGGATTCAAAGTCAAGGAGGTAAATACACTTATGTCAAAATCAGTAAAACAAGTATGTCAAAATTCAGTTATATGGAGCAAATTTCAGAATAATGGTTTGTTTAGTTTGGGTGCTACAAGCTTACTCTATTCAACTAACAGCAGATTTGTCAATTAAAATTGCATAAAAATAGGAAAGCCAAACGCAGAATTTAATTGGAGGTGCCTAAACCGAAAACAAACTTTTCAAAGCAAAATCTACGAGGAATGGCTGTGTCGTGACAACACGGTTAACATTACTAATGAGAATGTCCTTCCCGATGACCTAAAAATGTATCGTCTTATGATTCGGCCTAATCAGTATCTTCAGTATAATGGGATAAAACACTATGTCGAACGGTAAAAAAATTTACTAAGCAGTGATCCGGTTGAACTCAGATTCAGATTTATGTGGAAAGAGAGAAGGCCTAAGGCCTTTTTTTCGTTTTCTGGTACGCTTCTGTGAGTGTCCAGTCTTCTCTTGAAAGAGTCAATTGAACATGCGCCACCACTGCTTCTGGCAGCAGGTTCCAAATATTGGTGACTCTGCGTGAAAACCTGTATGCCACAGGTAATTTGTTCGCTCTTGGCCTTTCTACTTGCCTGCTATGTCATCTGAGATGTCCTGATCTAGTGAGAAGAAAAAGAGAAAATAAGTCAGGTTCGAAATCATTTCTCACTATTCTGTACATCAAAATTAGATCTCCTCTTAATCTGCGATAGGACAGAGCAAAGAGATCCAGCTTTTCAAGGCGCTCTTTATATGGTAAACTCCGAAGTTTTAGAATTGCACGGGTAGCTGCCTTCTGTACTTTTTCTAGGACTTCTGAGTCACCTTTTAACAGGGGCTCTCAGCCTGAACTCAGTTCTCAAGCTTAGTTTTCACTAAGGTTGTGCATACTGTGGTGAACATGGTAGAGTCTAACTTAGTGAATGTCCTTTTTGTGCCAAGAACAGGGTTGAATTGCGAATGCTGGTGAACGGCCTATGTTCCTTCACGAGGAGTACCAGGCGTAAGTCAATAAGTAAGTAAGTAAGAATGTCCGTTTTAAAGCCCAGAGGATTCTTATCCCCTTAGCTGCAGTTTCCTGACAATGGGTTGTCGTCTTGAGATCGTGACTCACTGTCACCCCTAGACCCTTATGAGACCGGACCACATGTAATTGCGCTTATCTTATGTTGTACCTATTAACCTTTGAATCCCCAAAGTGCATGTAGATACACTTTGCCGCGTTTATATGCACCAGCCAATCTTTAGACCAGTCAATCATATTATCTGAGTCTGCCTGAAGAGCCCGTGCATCTGTGTCTCCAGTTATTACTCGCCGGATCTTTACATCGTCAGCGTACAATAACATCGGGGATTGTAATATACTTGGAAGATCATTAACGTACATTATAAAAAGTAAAGGACCTAGAGCGGAACCATGGGGTACTCCACTATATACTGGTCTCTAGATGGAGCACTAGGAATTTATTCTTACTTTCTGTCTACGGTCTGCTAGAAAGTCCTTGAGCCATTTTAAATGAGGTCCGGCCATACCAAGGTTTTATAACTTCAACAGCAGTCTATTAGTTGGCAGATTTTCAAAAGTCTTACTGGAGTCTATGTAGACAACATACACTGAGTTTCCGTTGTCCAAAGCCTTTATCCAAAATACCACTGCTATGAAGAGGTTCGTTGTGCAAGATAAACCCTTTCTGAAACCATGTAGTTCTCTGTTTAACAAGTTGTTTGTTTCCATGACTGCCACTATGGTCCAATATTTTGACTACAACACTGGTGAGGCTTACAGGTCTGCAGTTCGATGGAAGCTGTCTTGATCTTGTTTTATGTATGGAATTGACGATTGCGTCTTTCCAGTCCATAGGTAAAACACCTTGGTCAGGTGTCTTATAGAATATCACAGTCAGTGGAGCCGCGATATATTGCGCAACATGTCCCAAGATTTTAGGACGTAATTTATCCGATCCCGTTGGCTTTTCCATGTTCAAGGTGCCTCAAGCTTATCGTCTTGATCGAAGTCCACGGTGAGCAGGTGGTTTGTTGACTCTGTATTTTGGCCTGGTTCTTTGCCTTACCGAACCTTCATAAATCCCCATGACTTCAAAATCATAATAACTAATTCAGACTCAATTAACTTGAGTGAAATGCTGTTTCTTAAAGAAAACGATGAATTATTTCATTCTATCGAACAATGAGAAAACTCTGTGGGAGGATTCTTGTTTAACTGTGCTACAAAACGTTTATTGTCATAGAGTTTCATATCTGAGATTGAAAATGAATTTATCATCTATCTAGAATTTAGCTGTACTTACTTTTAGTTTCAAATGTCAGTTTGCTTTAGTTCTCCATATTGTAATTTTGCTGTTTCCGGTTAATTTCATCTGTAACTTGAGGTCTATCCGATGTGCTCACTGAATAATCGGTATATTTCTTGATTCTTTCTCTTATACAGGATTTCTCATAGACACCACTCCTCTCGCTTTCTAAGCTTAGTTTGTACGCCAGATTCCACATATTAGTATTCAGTCGGTCGTTTATCCCCAAATCAATACTAGTCAGCTGATCAATTTAATTATTACAATTTACTCACTGACATGGCAGAACTTAATTATTGTATGATGAGGTCAGCAAATCAGGCAAGAGAATCTGTAAGGTATATTTTTATTGTTGATGAAAACAAAGGAAGAGCAACGGTCCACAGCTAGAAAGAAAAATTTGTTGATATTAGTAATGCATTATTTAAGTGAAGAGGGGTAAATTTCTAGTTTAATTATATTTTCAAAGGTTTGTTGAATCAGCGATGTCTCTCTCCAAGGAAACAAATTTAGATTTTAAAAAGTATGAAGTGTGCGATAATGTGGATTTAGAAACAGTTTTGTTAGAATATGAAAGTTATTACTACATAAAATTCCAGAAATATCCTAGAATTACCAAAAAATTATCAGGTTTCTTACATTTTTTATATAATCGATGTCATTTCAGACAAACTCTTGCAGTGCGAAAAAAAGCGACACGGAGGAAATTCAATAAAAACAAAGTAAGTTTTTATTTTGTCCTATATTAGTTTATGTAGACGATCCTCACTTCCTCGACTTTTAAACCGAGGAAATTCTATCCATGACTTTGAACAGAATCATTCATCAAACATTTTGAATTCTGAAGAAAATTCTGGTGCAGCCAAGGTAAGGAGGTAAATAGCTTTTCATCTTTTGGCTTTTAGTACTTTTATTCACGTAATTTTTTATATGAAAACCATTTTAAAAAATCTCCCTGTCCTAACGTTTTTTATTACGCTTTCTTGAGGCATAAATATGAGCTCTTTCCGTAACTGATTCATACGTCACGTCACTGTTTTCACATTCACATGCTTGCACTAGTTTGTTTAATGTTCTTTGTCGTGGAAAATTCGGCTACATTGCAGTGTTCGTGTTGATGAATACTTAAGAACTGTTGCTCAAAAATGAGTCAATCTATCCTGCCGATGACACTTCAGTTTCAGACATTATTCTGTTTCATATTTTCGGGAAATATATCAAGCTTGGCTATTCCAAGGCATTCTAATTCAATGGACTGTGCTATTTTTTATCCTGTAAGTATTGTAATTTCTAGCAATCTAGTCAGTTAGATTCAAACAACAATAAATTGGTGTTAGGTATGACGTAAAATAAAACGCTTGTTGGAAGATGTGTAGATAACTAATGAAGGTGAGCTCTGTCGAGTGGTTGGAGGCCTACTCTGGTTAGACGGCAACGTTGTGACCAACCGCGTAATGTCAAACCTCGCTGTTAATACACAACACGGGTTGTCCTTTTGTCGCATCCAGGTACTATGTCTACTTTGATGACCGTACATCAAAGACGAGGTTATTACTGAAATATATTAGTAAAAGCAGATACAAGGTCCAGAGTGTGACCACTGCTGTCCGAGACAATCCATGACGTGCAATTAACTGATGCGAATTGGTCGTCGTTAACCTTGACAAGGCCGGTGAGCTGTTCCATATTCAGTGATCCGACTTCTAGGTGATTTAACTAGGGTTCAGTGACATTTAACTAGACTTACAGATGCTTTTAAATTAAAAATTGCGCTCCGACAACATAAGTTTCAGTAGTTTACTATTTCATACAATATATAGTGAAATTTAAGTCAAAAAATGTCTGAATACTGTAAATATTTCCTGAAAGTATAAATCATATTATAAGTATGTATTTTACGTGTTCGTTTTATTTTACATCTTGAAAGTTAGATAATAATTTCTTCACATAAAATTGTATCTATATAGAATAGAGCTTGTAATGGACTAGCTGTACAAGGAAGGCAAGACCCTCTCGTACAAACTTCAGGGCGCATAGTAAAGAGTGGGATTTCACCAAATGTTCCAAACGGTTCTTCAATCACATCTTTGAACCATCTGGATCCAACACAGAACTCCTTTTTATCTTCTTCAACAAGACAGAATTTTCCGCGTCAAATTACTGACTACAGAGCGATTATTAACCAAGAAACCCGTTTACCGTTAGAAGAAAACCAACTTTCAGAAGATCCCCAAGTATGTATTCAGACTATAAGTAAATACATAATAGTGACATTTAGAGACGATGTATCACGTTTTGTCAGTTAACAGATATAATCTAAGCTCTAACCATTTTTGAGGTTAAATAGTTGAGCATTATCAAAGTACGTCATTTTGTTTGAAGCTCATGTTTGACTGAAAACGTCCACTGGACACAGTTCTTGTTTTAAAATGATGCGTAAATTTTTTAAACTTTCAAGACGTATAATTTATTCATGCAGTTGAAAATATTACCATCAAAATGTATAAACTGCTTCGGAGTTTTTAAAACAGGAAACCATTATCTACTAACGTATTTCATCAAGAAAATCAGACGCTCAAGTGTTTACCGCTTGTTGTTTTTTACACATTTTTAGATGATAAGATTTCCATCAAGTGATGCCAAATAAAATCGTCTGAAAATAAGTTGATATAACATAGAATTATTATAAATTAACCATTGGTTGTTGTTTTTGGTTAGAAAGTGACGGAATGTAGTTTATTTTGCGCCATCTTTTAACAGATAACGGTACCCCTATTTATTAGACAGGAATTATCTTTGTCGTTTCATCTCATAAGCTAATTTTTGTATATCAGCCAGAAGCGTATCATCTAAATTCAGTGACCAATTGTTTGTTAATGTAATCACTCCACTATTTATAAATGTTATAAAAATTAACAAGAACAAGAAGCAATTTTAGTACTTGCGTTGTAGAGTGTACTTAAGTCAGCTTTATTCTTTAAGATAGAATTCTTACTGAAAAACTGAATTAAAAGGACTAGCAAGTATCTTTGATATTGAGTGATATTTAATGAGACGTAAACTGCAATTTTTATTATTCAGGCATGGATAATAATGATAGTTTTTAATTTACATCAAATATTAAGGCAATTTTAAGCAAACTGTGTCATACGTAGCCATATCAATTGTATAAAAATGTTTAATGGACTCAATTAAACATAACTGGATAACACTGTTACTGCCTCGTGAAAACTAAACGAAAAAGCAAACTGTTTCGTCCCTTTTACAATGATTATCAAAAAATAAATACAATATTTCATATTCCATATCCAACTATGATTTTAAATATTTTTATACACCTTCAAAACGTAGAAAAGCCTTCGTGATTTTTTGGTCCATATACGTCGGTTTTACGGATCTTCCCATTTATGTTTAAGACTGCAATCGTTCAACCTACCTTGAAATATGTGCATCTTGCGCAGATTGGCTTGATAATGCCAGTAAGCCACCAGTATTTTGAGCAGATTTGGGCTGTGGCTAGCAACGAAGTTCAGGAGGCGCAGTTCATTCTATTTGAGACCCGCCAACTGTGTGTGACCACATCCTAGAATTGATTTTCACTTCGAGACTCAATCTCATAACATTTTTCTTTAATCGCCGTCGCATTATCAACCTAGCTACTGAATACAGATAGTCATTGGCTCAACCAATGGGGTGAATTTTAATTTTTAAAATCATTCCACTGCAAGCCATCATTCATTGATAATGCTATTATTATCCATAAGTGAAAACCTTTGGAAATAACAGCAAACATAATATCCGTGGATAAGTCAGTGACTACATTAACTCATTAACTTAGTGAATAACACTTTCACGTATAAAACAAAAGATGCTGATCATCTTGGTTATACCGTAAACATCAACACTGAATTGCAGGTGGATTAGCTGTTGAGTTCCACAGAGGATAAAACACAGGTTTTAAAATTAACTGCTACCTATTATTACACGGATAGAGTATAATTTAGTCAGATTAAGCACCATTTTTACAAGACAAATAATTTAACTTTTCCCTAAATCAAAAAATTAATAACCTCGGGACTCCTTTGTCTCTGAAAAATTATTTCGCAGGAACGTTTATTGAAGCCGTTAGGTAGTTATTTAGGCTACACAGGTGAATGGAGAAGTTTGGCTTTAACAATATCACGTGTAAGTCCCATTTACTATCATATAGTTTTCCTAATTATATCTTATGTTTAGACTTCAAAAATTAAAAAAACTTCTATAAATCAATACTCTATTCTAATTCCTAACAAATAATGTTTTTTTGATTTAAGAGTCATTGTGATGTTTTGAAATAGGCGATCTTGATAAGTCATTTTGATCTATACATTCATGATAAGTTAAATTTCTTTGAGAATATTGTTCAGAAGGGGTTTTCGTGGATATTTTAGTAATTTTAGTGGTTAAGATCATTAGTCAATCGAAGCTAAACCACCACTGGCACATGATCTCAACTACTGAAATTATTATAGTATCCACAAAAGCCCATTCTGATACTAATCAACATATGCTCACTAGTGACTAGCCTCAAGAGGTATTTTCTGGAGTTCCATTGAGAAGTAGTGATCAGTAGAGTCCAACCGGGTCTGTTGTGAGATAATGACTCACTGAAGACAATAGTGGATGTGTCGCTCAGTTTCGTTGATTAGCTGAAGTCTTCATGCAGTCGTTGGTAGGCTCATAGCATTGGATGATGTTCATTGAAATGCCCTCTTTCTTTGTTTTTAAAAAGGCTTTGATGATCCTTGGTCCATGAGATTCCCATCCTATAAGTGCATTTTGTGCTTTTTTGGACAGCATCAATGCAACTCCTTGTGTATGTGGGGCATTTTCTTCATCATAGCCGGAGTATAGCAGAAGCTCTCCTGAAGTTAGTCGTTGTTGTCCAACTTGCGTCCAATGTGTTTCACTAATCCCAAGTACCTCTAGGTTGTATCTTCTCATTTCTGCAGCAATTTGGAAGGCTCTCCTGGTGTCCCACATTGTACGAACATTCCATGGATCTAAATAAATGGTTGCTCTCGTTGTCAGAAAGAGCATCGGCCTCGTAAATTCCGAAGGAATTTGGCTTTCATCATGAGGCGTCATAGTTCTTCTAAATGAAGGCCTTCTGACTCCCGGGGCAGAGTTTAAAAGGTTTGAACAATTTTTTCTGGTTAGCGTTTTTTCAGCGAGTTAGTTTTCTACGGGATGTGGACGCTAACCCCATGCCCAACCCTCCTCCTTTATCCGGGCTTGGGACCGGCAGTAGCCCCCGGAGGGACTCCAGGCGGAGTTGATTACGAATGTTGATTAATGTTAAAAACAAAGTGAGATAAATTAACCAACTGGATTACTAATCTGGGTCATTTGAAATGATTTCAGCTAAAGTTTCACAATTTAGATTATTGTCTATTCAAAATCGCGATTACACATGTAGTTTTGACACATATCACCGTTATCTTTAAATGAATATAGAGTACTAACTATTGAAGGGAGCAACTGTGATTAAAGTGTATCGTCAACTGCAAGCCACCTTACATGAATAGTTAAAAGGCCAGAAGTATAAGATTACATGGTATAAATCTTATGGTTTGAAGACAGTTACACCCATGAGTTGTCTTCCTTCAACTTCTCAGCATTTTATTGCAATGTCCACATCTTTTCATTCTTTTAACTGTTATTTGCCGTGTTTCCTAATATCTATTTGTTAACTGAAGTGATTTATCTATTCAAAACAGTGTTATATTGAGGATCCTCGGGGTTTTTATCACAATGTATTTTAAATAAAATTTTAGGATATATTCCTTCAAAATCCAAATGTTCGATGGGATGATATAATCGGTCTAAGCTCCGCTAAACGTCTTGTAAAAGAAGCAGTTGTTTACCCAATAAAGGTAAGCTCATTTGAATTAGTCATCAAGTCTTTTATACTATTCTGGCTTATTGATAAAAGAGTGCCAGCTTCAACTAGAAAATTCAAACCCAGCTTCATCTACCTTATTTTGGGCAGTCGTATAACAGTTTTACTTTAGGTAACTTACTTTTTTAAGCATGTCCCTCCTCGTGGAGCATCGGCCGCCCACCAAGATTCTACATTTAGCTTTGTCCTGGTCTTTTTCCAACTGTCACTCATTCTATTGATATCTGCCTCCAAATCGCGACGCACTGTGTTTTTCAGTATTCCTCTTTTTCTTTTATTCAGAATTTTAAGTTAGCGCTTGCTTTGTGATATAGTCTGGTGGTTTCCGTAATGTATGTTCTATTCACTTTCAACATCTTTTCCTAATTTCCTCCCCATCTGGAAGCTGACTTGTTCACTCCTACAGCAGACTGTTGCTGATGGTATCCGCTTAACAAACACTGAATATCTTGCCTAGACAACTGTGTAGAAATACTTGTACATTTCGATGATGGCTGTAGTAGTCCTCCAAGTTGCAGCTCCGTACAGTAGAACAGTTTTGACGATCGTACTGAGAACTGTGACTCTGATGTTATCTGACAGTTGTTTTTAGTTCCATATGTTCATCGATTGTAGAAATGCTGCCCTTGCTTCGCCAATCCTCGCCTTTACGTCTGCACCAGATCCTCCTTGTTCATTGATGATGTTAACCAGGTATGTGGAAGATCCCACCTCTTCCAGAGCTTCTTCATCAAGTGTGACTGGTTTGGTGTTCCCTGTATCGTATTTGAGGGTGTTGCTTTTTCCCTAGTGTATGTTGAGGCCAAATGATGCATAGGCTTCTGCTACAATGGCTGTTTTGACCTGCATTTGTTCGTGTGTATAGGATAGAAGGACCGGGTCATCTGCAAAGTTCAAATCGTCTATTTGCGATTTGATCTGTGCATGACTGATCCTTACGGAATCCGACCTGTTGATCTCGAAGCTGAGTGTCTACTGAATTCTTCATCCGGTTCAGTAACATCTGCTCAGAACTCCTTTCTTTGGTATCTGGATCAAATGTCCTCCTTTCCAGTCTGTCGGTACTTGTTCTTCCTGAATAGAACGTGGAACATGTTTTCAGCCGTTTCTTTGTCTGACTTCGATGCTTCAGCTAGTATATTTTCAGGTTCTTCTGATTTCTCACTGTTGATTTGTCTGACAACCACGCTAATTTCTTCGATCTTTGGTGGAGTGACAGCTTTGGGAGTTTCTGATGGGTTCAGTGGGGCTGGTCTATTCAAAAGTTCGTCGAAGTGCTCCATTCACCTGTTCCTCTGTTCTGGAAACTAGGTGATTGGCTTGCCTTCTTTGTCCCTGACTGGTCTCTCTAGTTTACTTTATTTCGTTGTGTCATATAGTTGTCTCAGATTTCCTCTATCACTACTAGTTATTCTACGTAATTCAATTTGTCGTCCCCAATACTTCTCTTCACTCGCTTGTTTGCTTTTGTGTATTCCGTTTGCGCCTTAACTTTCCCCACTCTTGTTCGACTGTTGTTAATTACTGTTTTATTGTCCTTCATTTTTTGAGTCTTGCCCAGGCTTTCGACAGAGATGCATTCCCCATGATTATGCTTCTTGCACCTCACTCATCCTGAAACTTCAAAGTTTATACTTCTTTAATTTCTTTCCAGTTGTTTTCCATAGCAGTTTCCTCTTCTTTGAGTAAATCATATAAGGCTTGGAACCTGTTGTTGAGAGCTATCTTGAATTTACTTACTATTGGCTTATTATTTGTGCAAGTCGGTACTGACTTGTCATTGAAATTCAGAATTGATTAGTCACCGTTAGCGTATGGGCTTCTTAAAGGTGTGAGTTAATATCGTTTGCAAACACAATTTGGTTGTGTCCTGAGCATCAATGAACAGTTTAACATAGGACTGGTGTTTCATCCTGATTTTCAACTTCGCCGCTAAATGTACTTACATTTCAGTTTTGACGCCAACAGTCTTTAAATGTTGACTGTCATCAATTAACATTGCATGTTTATTTTAATATTACAGTACCCTCAATTGTTTGCAGGAATATTATCACCCTGGAAGGGATTGCTACTATATGGACCTCCAGGTAATTTACATAAAGTTTGCATAACTTCAGTAACTATTAGAAATAAAAATCACATCAGAATTTATTCTTTATATCCATCACACAATAAAATTCAATAATAGCTGGATCTACATTTATTAGATATTCATACCCTAGAATTTTAGTCCTTAAAAAGAAATGAAGTGCGACCAGTTGTCTGACTATCTACAACTATCTATTATTAAAATATAGTCCAGAAGATGTTGAGTCACTTAGACTAGTATATATATTGTAATCAGATCAACAGAACTTGATTAGCCCTAAGAAATGAACAAACAGAATACTTTGTAGGTGTCATTACCAAGGTTTGATTTGATAATTTCGAATAAATTGAGCATTGGGTTGATTGTTATAACAGAATACTGTTCACTGACTATTTGTTACTCAGTTTAAATATCTTTTGGTATCAATTACTTAACGTCTCGGAGAGTTCAGCTTGGTGACATGAATTTAAATCAAACTGGGAACAACAGTTCACCCAAGACTTCAGTACTTGTTGGTGAGCTACATGTATACATGAAATGTTGTAACTTACATATCTCATTGTGCAAAGTAATCACATGATAAAGAGAAAATTTATCAGTGAAATTGTTAAAATGTAAATAAAGTTTATAGTCAATCCGTTTAAAAAATTGGTTATCAGCAAGTCACACTCAGTTAGTTGTATGAACATACATTACGACGCAATATACTCAAGGATTGTTTGTATATAACATATTGACGGAATCTCGTCTGCTCAGTATAAAATAGCTAAGAGGGTTTTAAATTAATCGGTTACATCCATCAATTAAACTTATTTCGCTTAGTTTTTTTCAATGTTATTTACGTTGTTCATTGTAATAACAGAGAGGCTATATCCTATTATTAAAAATGATCTTGGTGGTCTAATAATAGAATTCCGACATCACGAAATGGGTTTCAAGCGTCATTTAGGCCCTAACGCTTCAGGCTGAGCTATTTCGCTTATTACCCTACATATGTGTTCTATGCAGCATAAGCTATATGGCTAATGTAGACCTGAAGGTCTCATATAAGGCCGGAGGTTCGCCATTGGTATTGTGGATGGTTCAGCATTGCTTTGGCAAGATTTACTGACTGTTCATGCACAAAATTGGCTTGCTGGTTAACGGATTTCATTCATACTGCTGGTTGCTTTTCAGTGTTCTCAAAGGGAATTGTCATTGGGACATTGTAAGGCATGTCGCCATTGCTAACATCAATGAGTTTGACTGTCGCGTAAGTGGAATAGATCAACTTTGGCCTGTTCGTGCTGTGCATCATTGATTCACGCGATCATTGATCGGAATAACTATACATGTGATGTGAATGTGTATATGAATGGTGCGAATGGTCCACCAGGGTGCTTGGTACCTGTGTGGTTGCGCTACAGGATTGAGCTGTACTATTCAGATTGTAGAGTTAAAGCCTATACGGTGTCTGGTTCTCCTGTGGCGCTGAATTGAGCTGTACTGCTCGGGTTGTAAAATTTAAGCCTGGGTGGTTTCCGGCTCTCCTGTTAAACGGGGTTGAGCTGTACTGTTTGGGTTGTCACGTGAAAGTCTGGAAGGTGTCTGGTTCTCCTGAAAAAGAATGTAAAATTACTCTGGCCCACAAGTGTATATTATACAACTATTATAACTATATCTTATTATTACCGTGTAACAAAACATTCCTGTCCATAAATAAACTTCAGTCAGATCAATCTATAGTGCTTTGTTTCAGAAGATATCAATTATTACATTATGTTGTTAATTTCTAGTCGAGGTAACAGCCCAGTGAAGTTCAAAGGTATTAGGCGTGAGGAAGGTGTTCACTGAACACAATGGAAGATGGTCGCTCAATATCATGGAATGATTGAATTTAAACTTGAAAATTATTGGATACAGGTTCGGTTGTCTAGAGGTTAGATGTACGTGTGCGAGACCAAAGACCTTGGGTTCGACCCCCAGCTGAGAAGTAGTGCGTGCTGACCACTGAAGAGTTACATACTGGGAATAAAATGCCATTTAGTACTCCCAGGTTCCCAGTGGTTGTCTAATTTTGATTAGTTCATGATTTCAATAGAATTCAACAATTTCCAAAACTTCATACTGATAGCCTTATATACATTTTAGACAAAACATATCTATACATAAGCATTAAGAGATTTTTACATGTTATCTTTTTTTCTATACGTTAAACAAGGCATTGCTTTTTTAATTTAGGGACAGGAAAAACTCTTCTCGCTAAAGCTGTTGCTACTGAATGCAAAACAACATTTTTTAATATTTCTGCATCGACTATTGTTAGTAAATGGAGAGGTGATTCAGAGAAATTAGTTCGTGTAAGTTTCTTCATTGATTTTATTTGTGTTATAGTAGTTACATTAAACCTCCATGTAACCATAGGTTTAATAACAAATTTATTTCCCATCTCCTAATAAAATCAGCCGGTTGTGATTTATTTTTAAAATACACAGTTTCAATTCACTGGTTGACTGTAAAATATAAATATTTAGTAGTAGGGGGATCCATAGTGACTGCTCATGAAAGTTAGTTTTCCTCATAACCAAAAAGTATTGAATAACTCTTTCATCTGGACTTGAAACCAGTACATAATGTTGACCCTGTCAGAGATTAATTGGGAAGCTTTGATTATAGAAGTTCAATAATATCGAAAACAAGACACTAATATCAAGTGAACTTAGCAGATATTAATTTAATTATATTTGTATACAACACTTCTAGTTCTCATTTGCTTGATTCAAGTATGCATTTATGAACCACATTCAAATTACAGGTACTTTTTGAATTGGCTAGATTTCATGCTCCTTCAACCATATTCTTAGATGAGTTAGACTCTTTAATGTCACAAAGAGGTTCACTATCTGGATATGGTTCTTCTGGTGGAGGAAATTCAAATATATCAGTTGGAAATGAACATGAAGGATCACGTCGAATGAAAACTGAATTGCTAATGCAAATGGATGGTCTAGCAAAATCTGATGATCTTGTCTTTTGCTGGCTGCTTCCAATCTGCCATGGTATAGTTAAATTAAATGTTATGAATATTTGATTCAAAATATTAATGTACCATGTTAAAATATTGCGATTGTTTTTGTGTATAAAGTTACTTTATTTGTTTTATACTACTCATAAGTAGCCTTTCAGAAATCGTGTAACGTTTACGTCTTTTATTATTGGAATAGTAAAGCAGAACAAAACTATTTGGATACATTTGTATTTTTACGGCTGTGTCGCTCAATTCTGAAGCTCCTATTGTCAGTATAGACAATATCATTGATAGAATTTCCGATTATGTGGATATATATCTTCAGCATTACATAAATTGATGATGAATTCGTTTTACAGTCTATTGAATTGCATTTGTGATATCTTAATATTCACAAAAATTCTGAATTAAAACTGATTTAGGAAAACATTTCATAGTTAGTGTTAGTTGTGGATTAATTTTGGTAAGACAACTGATAGAAACCAACCAGGACTTGATGGTATTGTTTCCAAGCATAAGGTTTTACCGAAGTTCAAATCCACGACCCCGCTATAAAAATGAATATGAGTGCCTTATGTTTTGACCAACCACTTGAAGTACAGTGGTTGAAATCCCCTACTTTAACAAGTTACTGAGAAGCGCTTTACTAAGACAAAACATCTGTTTAATACCCATTGGTTTTAAATAGCACTCCAAATGACAAAAGTCTGTGGATAATACAACATATAAATCAAGCTAGTATCCCTCAGAAAAAAATAATGTTTCATTGACTGTCTGAACTAATATTATTCTACATTATACGTCACCTCAGCTATTACTTCTACATATACAGGGAATTAGATCATGCAATGCTTCGTCGGTTGGAAAAACGGATTCTAGTTGACTTACCAAATAAAGAGGCAAGAATACATATGTTTGAATCCTTTCTTCCACCAGTTATTGGACAAGGTACATCAGGTGGATTACAATTAAAATGTTATTTAGATTATGATGTAGCTGCGGAAGTAAGTCCGGCTTTTTTTCTCCATATTTTTTAGCAATCATAACTTCACAAGTTGATTCATCATTATACTTCAAATGGTGTACTGAATGTCACTTTGCTGTGATTTTCCAAAGTAATTGTTAGTTTTATAACTATTTTCACAGATTGAGTCAGTTGAAGCTAGACCACCATTGAAAACCTGGGAGCACTGGACGGCCGTTTCGTCTTAGTATGGGACTCCTCAGCAGTGCGCATCCACGATCCCGCACCACGCGGGGCTCGAACCCAGGACCTACTGGCTCCGCACGCGAGCACTTAACCATTAGACCACTGACCATCACAAACCCTTTCTGATTATAACTATTTGTCAGTTAACCTGAAGGTTTAGCTAATCATGACATTGATGATGGTTGGATGGTGACAAGGAACAATAGTTATCACTTACATGAACCGAGTTGATGTAGTTATAGTTTATACTGTTAAGCGACAAGTCGCGAAGTGTAAATTGGATAAAATGGTTTCACTGGCTGTAGGTTTCTGTGTGAACATCAACTCGGATGAAAGTATATGCAGCTGACAACTCTCAAGTAGGACGAAACGTTCATTCACTCCATTCCAGTGCTAGTCAAATTTCACCAATCCTATAGTAACTAAAGTCAGTTGATGCTATCATCCATCATGTTCTTTTTAAGTAGTTTGTAACTATAGTAAACTGTTATCAAGATGACGAAGAAAGATTGTCCACTGGACATTGGATTCAACTTTTCATTCTCATTTATTATTTTGAAAAAAGTCGAAACGAACACTGATATTAAATTCAAACTGAAGTTTGTGTAATACCAATTTAATGTAGTTGTCTGTAAATCTTGTTGACATTTACGCATTAATTGTTGGGATCATGAGTCAGTTGAAGCTAGACCATCATTGGAAACCTGGAAGTACTGGACGGCCGTTTCGTCTTATTGTAGGACTCCTCAGCATCGCGCATCAACGACCCCACCTCGCGGGATTCGAACCGAGGAACTACTGGTCTCGCGTATATTAGACAAATTGTCTAACAATTTATCAAAGGTGTACAAGTCCAGTACTATCAATAAAAAGAATATCTTACCGTAAGCTTGGATAACTTTCATACTTTTCTTAAAACATAAACATAATATCCGAAAGAATCGAGTCGAAATTACCACTCTGATACTTATTATTGATACACATCAAATTGGTTACTTCCTCAATCCAAAATGTTTCGTTAATTTCCGTAATAAATATGCACAATCCGAATGATCTATTCATTTTTGATTAAACTTTCAGTTAAAGGTATTGTTGCCATTGATTAATTACCAGAAATCACTAAAACGCTTTACTTTTCATGAATTGCATAAAGATTGTATAGTGAATCGGGTTTATCTAGATAAAACACATTTGTCTTTACAAAATTCTTAGCTAAATAATAATTTTTTCAATGGTTGGGATCATGAGTGAATTGAAACTAGACCAACATGGAAAACCTGGAAGCACTAGACGTCTGTTTCGTCCTATTTTGGTACTCCTCAGCAGTGCGCATCCACGACCTCACCTCACGAGATTCCAACCCAGAACCTACTAGGTTTACCATGGTGGTCTAGCTTCAGTTGACTCATGATCTCAATCATTGAAATGACTATAATAATTTTTTAATAACTTGTGAATTCATTTGATAAAAATTCTCAAAGTCTTAATACAAAACTGTATTTAGGGAGAAAAAGGTATGGTATATTATAGTTGTTGAGGATGACGCTGTATCACTTACTGAATGAATTATTAGACGCCATATCAGTGGTCTAATACTAAGGTAATATGTGCTGTAGTTAAAAGTCTCAAATTTGATTCTTATTGAGATCGAAATGCGAATTGCTGGAGAGTTTTACACTAAAATGATGCCGTTTTTCACTGTTTCAAGATTTTGAAATGGTTAACTAGCTGATCAATTCATAATATTAACTACCTTTATTTATCTGATTATGTCATACACATTTAAAGATTTCTCAGTTTTTTAATCCTATTTCTATTTCAGTTAACTGAAGGTTACTCGGGCTCAGATATACGTCTAGTGTGTAAAGAAGCAGCTATGCGTGTTGTTAGGAAAATATTTGATATTTTAGAAAATTCTTCTATTGAAAGTAAGAAGTTTTTTACAATTTTGTTTTCTTTTGTTGTTGATGAATTACTAGTGTAATAGGGACACACTAGAATGTTAGAAAGACACAGCTGTGATTGCATAAACAATTGTAAAATCTGGTTTCGATCATGAATACTTATCATGGAAATATTTTCCCTTTATTATTTTAAGTGTTTCCAGATATGCAGCTAAGACCAAACACAGTATCTTGAGGTGAAAATTTCAAAGCTGCTCAACTACTTACTGTTATCTTGAACAGCTAAAGCATGCTATAATCTTACCAGTTCAACTATAATGGTTTTATACTAAATTATTGTTATAACTTGTGGTTTTGAGCCCTTATCAATATATAATGTATTGATACTGCCGATTAGGGCATAGTGATTAATCAACCGAATCAATGACGCATAAAACTCGTACAAGCAGTCTAGAGTTCTTATCGGTCCTGCTTCCTGCTTAGCCTTGCCTGTTAAGTTCAGAACACTAATCTCAGCCTCTGAGATATGAATCGTTTATTACAAACAAAATGGGTTGATATACCAACCAAATAGACCACGCCGTACCACAAAATAGGAAACAACATTTGTACAAGATTCAGACAAATGTGGCTGTGAATAAGGGAGATAGTAATTGGTAGACAGGGCATAATTCAAGAATGGTAAATCGTATAGTAATAGTTCATAGATCAAAATAAAGCTTATGATAAGAGGAACACAAATATGAATAGTTTAGTCGCATAACAATTATACGGTAAAATATACGTATAGTGTTAGTCCAGAAATAGATTCCAACAGTTATCACTCATTATTCTCATCGGGATATAATAATTATAATGTTTGGTAGCTAACAAGACCTCTGACAATTCAATTGTTCGGTTTCACTGTATGCAGCTTTTCGCACATGAGACATTTGGAAAAGGTAAACCCAGTTTTCACAAAGTTTTCTGCTTTCACCGAAAATGTTCAGTATATTCAATTATTCTCTCAGTAGAGATGATTAAAAAAGGGCATCTATTTGTTTCCTTAATTGCATTTTATTGTTTCTAATAATCAGTAAACTACAAGTAAACAAAGTACAAAACTAGTCTTTTGGTTCGAACTGTATAACATTGTATATTAAGATCATATTTCAGTATCAGAAGAAGTTTTGTGGATATTATAATAATTTTAATGGTTGAGATCATGATTCAATTGAATGTGGATGTGTCGCTCAATTTCGTGGATTAGGTGAAGTTAGACATTAACACTATTGGATGCCGGCTCAGTGGTCTAGTGGTTAAGCGTTCGCGCGCAAGACCGATATGTCCTGGGTTCGAATCTTGCGAGGCGGATTCCTTGATGCGAAACTACCGTCTAGTGCTTCCGGGTTTTCCATGGTGGTCTAGCTTCAATGGACTAATGATGTCGACCATTAAAATTACTACAATATCCACAAAACCCCTTCAACATTTGCTCACTAGTAACTGGCTACAAGAGGTATATCCTGTAGTTCTAGTGGGAAGCAGTGACTTGTAGATATTTCAGTGTATTTTATTATCTTATCATCCATAATTTTCGAATCTACAACTTTCATGTTTGTTTGTTTTTTCAAATTATTTAAATAGATTTACCTCAAACACAAATTCATTTTGATCCAATTACTACAGATGATGTTAAAGCGGCTATATCATCTACAATGCCATCAGCTAGACAATTAGCAGGAAAATATTTAGAATGGCAACAACAATTTGGTTCTTCTTAATCTCATAAAAAGAAAGAAAGAAAAAAAAACAAGCAAACAAACAACTTAAATGCTAAAAATCTCAAATCAATCATTGTCTTTACTCTCTTTTATTTTTGTTTCTTTCATTGACCTCATTTCATATTTTTACACATAAATTAACCTTCATTTTAGGTTATTTTAAACAATAAAAGTCCATATATACATTAGGAACTATTTGAACAGTTCAATATTCAATTGTATCCATGTATAGGATATGAATTATATTCTTAGTTGATTTAATTTATTATTTCCATGTTTGTTAGTGATTGACTGAAAGTCAACGTCAGTAATTGTATATCTTGAAATCACTAGTGATTATACTAGCCGCTTCTTTTATTGTCAAGGTGGAGAATGTCTCTAACATGTATTAACTATTGAGAGCCATTAAAGTTTATGTTTATTTATAACCTCACAAGTTGATTTCCCACTTTTGTTTCACATCGTAAACACATCGAATTTACTTGATTGCTTGTGATCTAATGCTAACTATCTAAGGATGTTTTCTATAAAACCTACTGCAGGAAATAACGTTTTATTCGATTGAATTTTCGAGAATCGATCTCCTTCCAGGAGGTCCACTTATCGACATAGAATACTCAGATGACATAGTTTTGTTTGGTGAAAATGCCAATAAAATGCAGAGTCTTTTGGTAGCACTGAGCAGCAATGACAGGATGTTTGGGATGCATTATTCTTTCTCTAAATGCAAATTGTCACATCTGGATTGGCCTGCTGCAATAGCTGTACTAACGAAAGGGAGTGAGGTAGTCGAACACGTCGATAAATTCACGTATGTTGGGAGTCTGATCAGCCTACAAGTGTTGGCGTCGGACGAAATCTTAGCACGCATTGAGAAAGCTCGTTGGCTTTTGCCAACCTACGTCACCTATAGTGAAGGCGAGATAACCGTCTATTAATTAGGGGACGAGCATACTACTTGACAGTTCGTCCGGTTCTACTTTACGGCTGCGAAACATGGCTATTAAGTGTAGAAGATACTCGTAAGTTACTAGTAATTGATCACAGATGCCTTAGAAATATTGCTCGTATCTTCTGGGACCACCGGGCAAGTAATAGTGAGGTTAGACGCATGGTCTTAGAGAATGATGGTAAATCAGTTGATGGGGTTTTGGTCCACTTGTTGTGAGCTACTTAAATCCACGTAAGTAGTATATAAAATAGTGAAGGGAATGTATTTCTGTAGCAGTTTTAGACGGGAAAAACGAGAACGGAAAGCAATTGGTATGAAAATTCAGGGAAAATGAAATCTGAGACTGGATTGATATTTACAAAAGAAACAGTCACGTTTGAGTCAATGGATTGATATTTTGCAAATTAAATATATAGTGTATGGTTCTCAGATTTTATTCAGATATTCTGTAATTCTGTAATCAAATACATTCACTTGTTTACTTGTTCATTACATTTTGTGTCGCTGCCAACCGGTAGGACTACTTGGAAACAATACAATGTTCAATTGTATTCATGTGTAGGATATAAATAATATTTGATTTACTTGATATTGTTTTACTTGAATCTTCCCATTGATGTTTTTTAGGATTGAAATTGATCAGTCTCTTATTGGCATATGTGCATACTGTGCGTATGCCTCGATATTGCCTTAATTTACAAGCATTATAGGCAAAGATGGATAGTGGCTATCAGTGGAATCCAGGACGCGCGTTTCGTCCTGTTTGGGACTCGTCAGATGGATGTACCTGCATCTCAGAGTTGATGTACACTCTGGGACTCGAACCCAGTACTATTCGCTTCAAACGCCATCGCGTTATCCACTTAGCTACTGAGTCCAGCTGACGAGTCCCAAACAGGACGAAACGCGCGTCCTGGATTCCACTGCTAGCCACTATCCATCTTTGCTTAATATTTGATTTAATTTATTATTCTCATTTTTATTGGTGATTAGAAAATTTCTTAAACGATAATTAAAGTCATTTTATTATTAGTATATATATGGTTGGAGACTCTGGATGACATGGCTCAGAATCGATCACAATGGCGTAGGTGTATACACTTTCTGTCTTCCCTTAAACTATGAGATTAAAATCATTTCATATGTTTCTTTCTGCGAACTAACTCTTTCTTTCTGTACTATGTTCTAACATAAAAACTTTCCTTTATTTATTACAATATTGAGTTAACTGCTTCTATGAATCCGGTGTTCGTCTTGCTGTGTTAATGATACGTGTAAACTTGGAACGTTTATTATTATTATTATTATCATTACTATTATTATTATTATTACTATTATTATTATAAGCTTTATTCAATATTATATTTTTGGTACAATATAGAATTCTCAGCACAAAGTATTTCAACAAGTTTCCGTTTCCTTCTTCTTGATCTGTCCTGGCGATAAATATTGAGTGACCGCCAGTTAGCTGTTAGCAGTACAGTAAATGAACATTTGAATAGTGTATATTCTTTTCGTTGAATACTGCCAGCAATCACATTGTCTCTCATTGCGCTTTTTGTAACTTTGACAACAAAATGTTGTACACTTTTCAGAAATGCACAGGATAGCTTATGTGATTAATAGACATAATGATATATTAAAACAAACAAAAATAGATAACTTGTTGAAATGCCTAGATGGCAGGAACAGGTAGCCCAGATGCTCAAGCAGGCTGCATATATGTGCCTGGTCCTACGTTTTAATTGATTGACTGACTGACATGTATGAACTGTATGTGAGCATAATGAAGTGAATGAGCATTCAATTGGAGACAACCAACTTACTATTTAATAGAAAATTACAGAACTATCTTCATAAAACATTAGAACTATACATTAAATATTTCATTTATATATCTTCCATCAATTATCCTTCATATTCTGTATAATTCTTTCAATTCACGATTCTTTTCTATTTTCTTCAACTTGATATTTTTAGTCTTCTGCTACCAAGCATTCCATTACCAATTTATGTTACATGCTACTCATGTCTGTTAATATAAGTAATATATACCATAATTGAACTGAAGTTTTGTATTAACTTTATTTATGTGTATACCAGAACGAATTGTCTTAAGAAAAATGATTGATTTGTTAAAATGGTGATTTCTAATAAATACTGATTACTGCTACTGGTTTGGTGTGTGCTACTTATATTGACATAAGTAGTATATGATGTTAGTTGTGAACAGAAGGTCTGGCAGCAGACAGACAAGAGGATCGAACAGTAAAGAATGGAAACAGGATGCAATTTGTATGAAAATGCAAGAACAATGAAGTCTGAAACATTTTGAGACAATTGGTGGACATTTTACAAATTAAGCATTTTCCTTAGGATTGTTAGATTTTATTAACAAGTCTTGTAACTTTGTGTTAAACACGTTCTATTGTCCCCACTGGTGTTCTTGTACACTACACTGGTACAGTTGTCGGTTACGGCTGAGAAATAAATTCAACCTGTTATTCATTGCAACGGAATGAGATTGTTTTGTCGATGTAAAGAAATGGAAGAAGACTGATTTATTCATCGATCATTTTACGATTATGAAATTTAGAAAAAATATAATTTTAAATTATCTATCATTTTAAACTTTGAATAATCAATAAATTTGAATGAACTGAATCAATATTTAATCAATAATCTAACGTGTGTCATAGCAAGAAGGTTCACAAACCGTGATCTAATAAACTTAAAGTTGGATCCCGTTTTTTGTCGATGAGTAGTCAATGACTGCAACGTCTAACCCGAACAAGTGGTATCAGCTTCATCAGTGAATATTTTCAAGGAGAAGTTGAAGCTGTACTGGAAGGCAATCTGTCAGGATTAACACAGATTCACAAACCTACTATCCTTATTACTGAGAACTGAAGACTGCATGTGTATACAGTTTTGGTGGATCAGTAAATTAACTGACATGACTAAGAAATATGATTCATCAATAAAATTGCATATTTGTTTTTTTCTCGACAGATTAAATATTCTACTGTATCTGAACACGATACATTTTTTTCTTGTTGACTAAAAAGAAGCATTTCTATGATTATCGGTATGGTGTTGTGGAGATTATTATTTTTGTGTTTGAGATCATGAACCTATTGATGCTAGAACATCATTGACAACCTGGAAGCACTGGGCGGCCGCTTCGTCTTGTTGTGCGAGTCTTCAACAGTGCGCATTCACGATCCGACATTTGCGATTCGAAATCAGGGCCTTCGGTTTTGCACACAAATGCTTAACATCTATACCATTGAGCCAGCATCCAACTGTGTTAATGTCTAACTTTAACCGAAATTGCGCGACCATCTTCCATTGTACTGAGGTAGATACCTGTCTACCTGACATGGATTAGCTCCACAGGTCCACTAATTTTATAGAACTTTCATGGTACTGTATTTGATATTCCAGAATCGAAGAACCTACTTTGTCACTCTTCAATTACCACTTCATACTAGTCGCATAATTTGAGAACTATGGTTTAAAAACGTCAATTGCCATATAACATGTCCAGGTTCTTTCAGTAAACCAATAACAACGACTCTGTGCAAATCTATGACATGATCGCAAACATAGAGTATTTCTATTGATTTATTAGCTAGATGATATAATATACCGGGAGTTTTGAAGTTAAACATTAACACCATTGGATGACGGCACGTGCGCGAGACCAATATGTCCTGAATTTTGAATCTCTCTAGGCGGCATCATGGATGAGCACTGCTGAGAAGTCATAAAATAAGACGAAACGGCTGTCCAATGCTTCCAGGTTTTTGATGATAGCCTAGTTTTAATCAATTTATGATCTCAATTATTGGAATCTGTATACATGTTTATTGTGAGTTGTTTTTTATTATTATCAAAATCAATCAATCAAAACATAAAGAAATGAAATACACAACTAATTTCATATTCTTTATACATCTATTAACTTTCAAATACATAATTGTCATATTCACTTAATGAAAAATGTTTACCTTCGAAGAAGAAAAAAAAGGTGTATTCATTGATT